TTTTGGTTATGTATGCCTATGTATCAATTCATAATTGAGAGTGGTGGGTCTTTGAAACGTTCAATCCAAGAAAATAATATGTAAGAACATGCTAGTAAATTCAATTTAAGTGTTTTAATTGTCTAATATATGTATTTTGACATATTATAAATTTTTCATACTTTTAGCCCCTCTCAAAAATATTTCTAGTTCTGCCTCTGTTGGTTCCATCAAAACATAACCGAGTAGTATTGGAGCTTATATGCCAATAAAAATGTTTTGTTTGGAATATCTCAATCTTAAGAAAATTTGTGCTTTCGTAGTCTTTGTAGTGAGAGTTACTCGTTTGAACGCATAGGGAGAGTGATATCGTTTTATTTGGCCAAGTTTAACGCTTGTTGTTCACTTGTATTTTCTAGCGAGCATAGTATTGCATAAAAGTTTACATAAAATTCGTGTGTAATTGACAGAATAGAAACAATATTATCTATCTTTGTAATTTTCATTCACAGTATATACCTATTCGTTTATTTTTATAATTACACATACATGTTTATGCAATAACATCTTTTTTAGAAGTACTTGTTAGTTTAAGCGATTTAATGGTTGGGGATGAAAGTAGGAGTTGAATGCAGACGGCAAAAGTAAATAAAGTTGAGTGAAGTGATGATATGATTATTGGCTAGGCCTGCAAGACTAAATAGCAAGGCTGCTAGAATTGCTCTCGCTTGTACAGTTTACCCGATCTGGAAAGCCCGAAATACTAGACTATTTGGAGGGGCAAAGGCCACGAGTGATGAGAACTGATTTTGCCAATCAAGTGCTTAAATACAAGATTTTATATATACTATATCCGCCGAACATGATAAATTTCTGATGCCCCAATAGATCGGTTACTAGTTCACGGAACAGTTTGTGTTTTTGTCCTGTTATGTGAACCCCTGCTAGTTCCTATGAGTAGTGTGGCTGGTGTGTGTTCTTAGAGGACTATTTTGTTGCTGTTTGATATCTGTTTTTTTAATGTGGGTTTTCTTGTGATCTTTGTTGGTAACTTCGAGGGTATGCCCCTTAAACTTAGTAAATTTTGCCTATTTATAGCATTTATCTTTTATCCAAAAAAATGATTATTGACTAGGTTTGATAATGCTACTGATAAGGTTTGAAACATACGCAGTGGATTTGTGTAATAGAGTGCTTTTCTAACGTTCAAACGTTTGGATTTGTTTAATAGGATGCTTGTCTAATATTCTAACGCTTGGATTTTATTGTATTTCATTGTTCGCTCTTTCCTCTTGATGCGTAAAGAGTATGGTTTCTTGTCATTTATTAAAATGTCATGTTATTTTACTCAAGAGCATGTGGAAGTTAGTGATGAAGTGGAGAAGAGCAACATTAAAAGAGATGAAGACAAAATACAAGATGTCTGAGAGCTACACGCCACCGTCTTCATCTTCATCCTCATCATCTTTTAGATCAGAAGGGGGTTCAGGCTCCCTGCCAGCTACACGATCGGCTTCCCTTTGAACATCTCGTCCATACTTCTCAAATTGGGCCTGAACGATATCGACCGAGGGGAGATCAGAAGCTTCAACCGGCCTCCCAAGTACCTGCGGCATTTGGGCCAACAAAGGCTGCAGGATGTGCTGGCAGCCCTTGACATAGAAATTTTCCGGCCAGGGAATCATTCCAACGTTTACCCCGAGGATCCTTATCCAGAAGGGCCACTCCTGCCGCACGCCGTTCATCACCCTGGGGGAACTTCTCAAAGGTAATCCCCAAATATGGCTGGAAGTTGCTGCAGGGCGTAATCCTCTTTGATAGCGGTGAATTCATCAGAAGATTTGAACGCCTCCCGAACGGCAGACAGATCCACATTTACCTCAGTAGGACCGTCCGGGATGCGGGGAAGCGCCTCTTCAAACCTAATCTGAGCGCCCTCAGCAGCAAAGACTTTGGCCTGGGAAGCAGCAAGCTGGACCCGTAGGTTGCCAAGCTCGATCTCGAGCCGTTGCTTTTCTTCAGCAGCCTTCCGTTGGTTGCCGAGCTCGATCTCCAACCGTTGTTTTTCCTCAGCAAAAGCCTTCTGTTCGACCTCACGAGCATGGAGAAAAGTGGCGGCCTCTTTTTCCGAGTTAGCCCGAGCCACGATCAAGTCCCGTTCCTTGGCCAGACGTGCTTCCCGTAACTGCAGGCTATATAGCCCCATCTGCAAACTGTTCGGAGAAAAAAGATAAGAAACCTTGATTCATATAAGAAACAAATGGAAAGATAGAAAATGAAGTACCTTCAGGGCTGTTAAGGCAACACAATCCTCCGCCTGATCGACGGGAAGATCGGGAAGCCGAAAGTTATTGAAGAAGGCAGAAGTGGACCAGATCTGGTTCATCAAAGAGCCGGCCTTTTCCAGTATCTCATGAGTCGGATCCTTCGGGGGAATCCTTTCGATCTGACCCACAATGTTGGCCGGATTGGCCTGATCGGCCTCCATGGTCACCTCCTGAGCAGCCTGGACATGCTCAGAAAAATGATACGATTGATCAGACCCGAACGACTTGTCCATCACCATATCCTCAGGCTCCTGATAATGAGGAACCTGCTGAAGAGGCTCAGCCACCTGAACGGGTAGAGAGAACCCGACATCTTGAGAAGTGATGGGGGAAGGCTTGGCCTTGGGATTCTTCTTGGTCTTCTTCCTCTTTCCCACTCCACCAGCTGGAAGCACACGACTGTCATCCATCGGAGTATCTGTGTTGGGAGCTGAAAAAATAAAGACAAAAGTCAGTACCGAGCGATCTTGCCGCTAAGAAACTAAGGAGGAGTGTTTCTCGCACGAGAAGGACCGCCCGGTCCATGGCACTTGGTTCTCAAAACAAATAAACCCAAGAGTGCGGGTAGTACCTATCCCGACTTTGATGAATTGATCAGGAGTCAAGTAATCTATAATGTTGCAAGTTTTGGCCTCCTCCACTGCAAAAACATCCTTACAGATCGTCCCGGTAAGAACCGGATCTGGTGATTTACGAGAAAAGGCATTCCACCTATTCGGAATCAGATTATCCAAGACTGAAACGAAGAAAAACCGGTCTTTCCACCCCTTGATTGAAGTTAGGTTACCCTTGAATAATATATGTCCCGTTCGGGCGGTTCTAGCCAAATACCCGTGGGTCTGCTGAGGGGCCACTTTAAAAATTGATGAAACAGATCCAAACTGGGCGTAACTTTGACATCTACACAACGGCAAATGAAGCCGGCCATCACCCGATAGGAGTTCGGCATGATTTGGGCCGGTACTACCTCGTAAAAATTGAAGAAGGACATGAAGAATGGGTGCAAAGGAAACTTAAGCCCAGCTTTCACCGAGTCTAAATGGATCACCACCATCCCAGGGAGGTAGCGCATTGGGTGAAGCCCAGCCCGAAGACGGAAATCCACCGGGTCCAGAATTAGGGCTGGAATTTGAGCCCTTTTGTGAGAAGTCAATTTCTGCCTCCTCTCCCTGATTAACCTTAAATCCACCCTATAGCGAGGGACATCGCCCGGGGGACCAGCTGCCATTGAAGAAGGTTCATCGCCAGACATCGTGCCATCAGAATCCTCACCGGAAGGGTTAGACTCACCTGAGGAACCTTCCTCAGCCGTCTGCGCAGTCGCATTACTGGCGACATCAGCAAAAGGGACTTCTATTGCGTCTGGTACAACGACGTCATGGGTTTCCCCGAATCCGAACCAAAAGAAGATGGTCGAGAAGACATGATGTACCGAACGCGAAGTGAAAGAAACAAAAGGGAGGGGTAGAAAGTACCTGAACACTCGAAAAATTGCTGAGTCCTAGAGAGAAGGCATAGCTAAAGCACGAAGGAAATGAGAATTCGAAAGCCATAACCAAGGAACTAAGGCCTATTTATAGCCTGACAAGCGCCATTTCGTCGACCAACAAGATAAAGACACATCACCAGGAGCGTTTGAGGAAACACGTGTCACACAGGAAAATAAAAGACAGTAATCATGACGATTATGGAAAACTGAAACGACAGCCGCAGGTAAGCCGTTACATCAAGACATCGGGAACCGACGAGATCTGTATCCCAATCAACAATCGGTGTAAATTTTCTACTTCCGTATGCCCTCACTACCATTCGAGACATCGGAAGTGGGGGACTCGTATTGGGATATTGGACAGAAGGCCCAATACCCGGGCCAGAGGCCCAAAATATCCAGTCCAATAATTAACCCAGAATCCAGACGAAGAATGGCCCAGTGAGGTATATGCCCCGAACGGGAATATATCGGGTCAACCAAGATACTTTGGGCCAGATCAAGGATGTGTTCGGCCTGGTCCATGACTCCGTTCGGGCAACGGACAACTTGCAAGTGGTAAGGTGCATTAAATGCTAGCGTATGACATCAAGAATTGGGAGCATGGGCGTTCAAGTGGCTGGATTAGCAACCAATCAGCATAGAGCACCCCATACCCTTCATTAGTATAATAGAGGGATTAATATCATTGTAAAGGGTTAGCATTTTGATACTCAAGGCCTAGAATAGCTTCATTACTCTTGTTCTTGTATTAATCACTATTCCGACGTACCGTTCGGGAAGTTTCATGTGTAATCAGCGAATTGCATAATACAAGTGGGCTCTTGAGCATATTATTATTCATCTTTTATATTTTCTTATACCCTCAAGTTATTAGCTACGTCCTGAAATATCCAAAGCGTGTGTTGGGCTTTCGGATTTACGGGACTTAATCTCAACAAAGGAATAAGGATAGAGATAAAATCCATAGAATATGTGAAATTTCATTTAAATCTAGATAATTCCATGATTTTGAAATCCACAAAATTTCACATAAAATCCATAGAATTCATGGAAATTGATTTAAATCCATAAAACGTTAAAACCCAACACTTCTAAAATTTATTAAAATCATTATTGGAGACACTCCTAATATTCAACACTGTCTTTGGATGTGGGCTATAATCTAAGTGTTAAAGGGCACCCGGTCACATTGAAGGGTACCTGTCGCAATTCCAAAATTTGGGAAACTCAAAACATCAACCAAAAAATATAAGCCCAGAATCCACAAGGTATATAATCATAAAGCACGGAGGAATGAGGCATGAAGTCTGAAATTCTGAACCTCGGCCAAGAAGATGGAGTTTGCCAAGAGGAAAGCTGCGACTTTAGCTGCAATGAACTCGCCGGAGCCGGACAAATCTCCGAAAGGCAGCATAGACGCACCCATCGTTCCCCTACTCACAACCATCAACTCTCATCCTTTTTATTTCACCACCAGCTCTTGCTCCGGCCGCATCTCCATCTTCGCCCACCCCACCACACCTTCTTCAACCAACCCTAAAAAGGCCAAAGGTGGGAAATGGGTCTTCATCTCACACGACCCAGTTGATCCTAACTCAGTTTTACCACTTCTGTTTGGAAGCGAGTTGACTCAGGTCGATCCACACCACAGCCTAGTATTCAGGTTCGAGCCTCTAATTATTGCCATTGAGTGTAAAGACGTGGAAGCGGCTCAGTGGCTGGTCTCATTGGCTATATCGTGTGGGTTTAGGGAGAGTGGGATCACTAGTGCCACTAAAAAGAGAGTGATAATCTCTATCAGGTGCTCGATTCGATTGGAAGCTCCATTGGGGTATACCCACAAAATAATGGTTTCGACGGAATACTTGAAGTACATTGTTGAGCTTGCTAATGAGAAGATGAGTGCTAATAGAAAGAGAACTGATGGGTTTCTTGATGCTCTGTTAAAGAAAGGATCTTTTGGGCATCATATTAGCAATGAAAAGATTTTGGGCAAATATGAAGTGGATAGTGATGAATCTTCAGCTTGTCTAGATGGTCCCGAGTCAGAATTCATGGAAAGTTCTTCCAAACATTTGAATGATACAAAATGTGGTAATTAAGAACTTTCTTTATGAATTGACTTGCTAGTTGACCATATCTTCTACTTCTCTTTTGTTGTGTGTATGCTGGCTGGTATCAGGGCCGTCTAATGAATTTGGGAATCCCGGTTCCAAATCTAAAATCGAGGCCCCATATTAATATAATTTTTTTTTTTTAAAAAATCAATTCAAATACTTATACTCAAATCAATTGAATACTCATTAAATAATGTAATAATAAAATTTCTAAAACTTACTTAATACTTGATTTGAAGCAACACAACTCATTATTCAAACAATTTGAGTAAAAGAGAACTTAAAGGATGAACGAAAAAAATGATGGATTTATAAACTATTTTTCTTTCTTGCTAACTATATTTTACCGATTAGTATTAATATGTAATATTACTATATAATACTAAAAAAAAATTAAAATCCGGGGCCTCATAATATCGAGGGGCCCTGTTCTGGATAGCCTATTAAACCCCCTGAAAAACGGCCCTGGCTGGTATTATGGTCTTGTGATACTGCTATTGGTTATATTATTTTATAGATTTGACTTGATTGGAGGCTTTTTTTCATATCAGATTATCTCTATTTGTTAGTCTTAGATTAGGAAATAACTAAATACAATACTTGATTGAATAATGTATTTCTATGTTTCCTCATCTTCATTTTTAACCATCTAATGTAAGAATAAATCAATAACATATATACCACTCTCCCCTTCATTTTCCTTCACCCCCCCAACCAAACAAGGGCTGAAGATTTGGCACAGCATGCAATGTCATTGCATGTTTACTTTACTGATTTTAGAGAGCACAATCTCTAGGCATTAGGTTGAATTGATTATTCTAGTTCTGTGTGTATGGTGAGTTGTTTTGTAGCTTTACTTCTTTACTGCAAAGTGCAAACATCTTGTTAATTTCTGTGAATTTTATCCCCAAGGGTATGTTGGAACTGGGGGTGTATCATGGAAAAATAAGAGATCAAAGTATAGGATATTTGAATGAAAAGAACATACTACTTACGTCCCTTTTTATTTAGCCATCTTTGATCCATTATTTTAACTAATATATTTATGTGAAACTTAATAAATTTATACTTTTGTGATAGTATTTTTAACAAAGAACATTTTCATATCATTTTCATATTATCAATATTACCATGTATAAATATATAACTGGATTTAACATCATTGACTTGAAAAATAGTGTTTGGAACTCATTAGTTGGACGGAGGAAGTATAAGGTGAAGATAAAACATTAGTTGGAACTCACTAAATTTTGTATTGACATTTTCTCAAACTCATTGTATCTATCTATTTACATTATATAAAGACTTCAAATTATACTCCACTCCCTCCCACTAAGGTTTTCCAACTTTTCTTATTTAGCCGTCCCAAAAAGCTTTGCATTTCCATTCAAAGTAACAAAATTGCGGTTCATATTATTTCTCTTTCTACTCAAATTTCAACCACACAATTTTTACTTTATTATTCCACGCGCAAGTCAAGATTGGCCAAACCTTTATGGGAAGGGAGTAATAAAACATCAATCTTATTTCATTTTATTTTACATATTCCAAGTTAAAACCAAACACAAGAAACTAATTCCTTTGACACTGTTTTCCTATTGCTAGCATTTTCCAGGATCCAGAAATACCTGAACCAAATAAGACAAAGAATTCAAACTCATTCACAACCCTCTACGTACAAATCTATTTATACTTGTCAATGCGTAAGAATTTGGTAATAGTCTAACTACTATGTCTTGTTGCAGGATACATTCCCTTAAAATATGACAGCCAATCTGAATCTTTAAATCATTGACAGGATCGTTAACGGTTTCTGGTTTGAACCTATCGAGCACTCAAATGCTAATCACTGGCGAGTCAATTGAAAGGATTTTCCTGTGGGGTCACTCTGCTTCTGCAATTGATGATGCATTTGACAAGAAGGTTCTCATTTTTGGTGGGTTTGGAGGTCCAGGCAGACATGCACGAAGAAACGATTTGCTGATTCTTGACCTAGAATTCAGTAGATTAGAAGTTGTTGATGTTCGGGGAATGCCATTATCACGTGTGGGTCATACGTCTTTAATAGTAGGAAAGCATATGTATGTGATTGGTGGAAGAGCTGACCCACTAAATATTCTGAATGATGTGTGGGCTTTTAGTTTGAACAAGAAAGAATGGAAGCTCTTGCAGTGTTCTGGCTGTTTATTTCCACCAAGGTAATTTGCTATGCATCTTTACTTTAGCTCTGCTAAGTGCATTAGATGTCTTCATTTTTTGTACCTGTGATGCAGAATTCTTCTTTTTTATTTCTAGCTTCTTTATAAGTGTTGTTGTTATAATTATTATTCATCCCTGCTTGTTTTTAAGAAAAATTCCAGAAAATGGTTTTATTTTTATTTCAGTGTTTGGTACATTACTGCTACTAAAAGTACTATGTGTTTGGAGGATTGTAAATTGTTAACTTGTTATGGTTAGCATATTATGGATAACTGATGACGACACTCAAATTGTCGGCCAAAATAATCAGATATGATTTTCATTTTCCTTGAAATAATCATCATCTTCCTAAGGAAAAGACTTTCTACCCCTGCTGTTGTGGTGTAACCTCCTAATTTATTTTCTGTAAAATTCAACACTTTATCATGCAGACATCGACATGCAGCAGCAGCGGTGGGTTCAAAAATATATATATTTGGAGGAATTCAGGCTGATGTTATATTGTCATCATTACATGTACTTGACACAGAAGCCATGGCATGGACTGAACATCAAGCTGAAGGAGAGCATCCATGTCCCCGTCACTCCCACTCCATGGTTCCATACGGAACCCAACTATATATATTTGGGGGATATGATGGGGAGAAACCCCTAGGTGACCTTTTTAGTTTTGATACAGAAACGCTTCTCTGGAAGAAGGAAACTATCCCTGGTAAACTGCCAAGTCCTAGGTTTTCCCACTCTATGTTTGTTTATAAGAATTTTATTGGCATTATTGGAGGATGTCCCATTAGTCAAAGTCAATATGAACTGTCCTTGCTTGATATGCGTTCACACCAATGGAAGCATATCGTGGTCAATTCCTTAGAAAATGATATCTTAATTAGAAGCACTGCTAACATTATAGGTGATGACTTAATCATGATTGGTGGTGGGGCTGCATGTTACGCATTTGGTACCAAGTTCAGTGATCCGGTGAAAATAAACCTTTTCCCACTGTTGTCACTGAAAAGTGGAGAGCTTAGAGAATCTGGTGAAGAAAGTGGAAAATGTATTGATGGTTCCTTTTGGGCTATAAGGATTGAAAGAAAATATGCAAAGTTGGTGAAAGACGTTTTGAAAAAATTTGGATGGTTAGATCTTCGAAGAAAGGTTTACTCTCTTGATGATGGAATACATATATGTTTGCCTGTGACAGAATTTTTTTCCTCAATATTTCCTGATAAGAGAACAGACTCTTCTGCTTATTTCGATTCTTCAAAACCGATCTTTGAAAGTGAAAATCCTTTAAAAGATATTTCCAGTTCAACGGAATTCAAAGCATTGAAAGTTCTTACAGAATGTCATGCAACGAAAATTGAAGATAAAGTTGTAAAAGTGAAAAAGGCATCAAACACTTCTTTAGAAGTAATGAAGGAATCTGTAGTCTCTCTAATCAGTCAAAGGGGATTGCCGTTACAACTCTTAGATCAGCTACCATCAAGGTTTCACAAGTTTCGTTTTTTTCTTTTAAGAAAATTTACATGTTTTTGTTGATATATATGATTTAAGTCATTAAATAATCCTTTTTCCCTTAGATGGGAGCGTTTGGGTGATATTGTAGTGCTTCCTAGGACGTGCTTCAAGGATCCTCAGTGGGACTCTATTGGGACGGAGCTTTGGAGTGCGGTTGCAAAGTCACTTGGAGCTCGCCGGCTTGCTCGACAAGTAAGATTTAGTTATTATCATTGATTAACATATAGACCGTTAAGTTGCATCACAAAATTATGCACAAGTAAATGATTGAATTAGTTTACAATGCTTATTAGATGTTTCAAACATCTATAAGTGGAATTATATATTTATATCATGTATCGTGTAATATCTATAATAGTCTACAAAATAGGTGTCACATTGGAGAAGTAATGTCGTTTCAAAATATCTTTCAGCTTTTGTTCTTCTAGTCAATTGAATATTTTCTCCCATCTTTGACGTTTTCTTAACTTATGTAGGGGACTTATTAGAAAGATTAAAGATCTCTAGCATCATAATGGAACAATCTTGCTTTAAAATTCACTGTACAGAAAGATTCCATTGAAAAAGAGGTATTACTTTCAATACTGTTAGGAAAACTGCAGAAAAGTGACCATAAATGTATCATTAATTGAATTGTAAAACTAATTAATCATACACCTTTTGTACTTTTTGTATATAAAGAAACTACTAATGCACTAATGCAGTGTGCTAAAATTTGTAGGGCAGAATATCTCCAAGTGGCACAAGAGATAGTAATTTGGAGATGCTAATTGGAGATAATGGGTGGGTACATCACCGTGAAAAAGGAATTTTATATTCATTTGATGCTACAAAGTGCATGTTCTCCTGGGGCAATCTCTGTGAGAAGCTAAGAATGGCCCACCTTGACTGTACAGATGAAGTTATAGTGGATTTATTTGCTGGGATTGGATATTTTGTGCTTCCCTTCCTTGTGAGGTAATAATATTTTTACCCATTTCAAATTTCTGTAGCAATATAAAATCTGCTGTCTTTAAACTCTTACTATTTTCGCTTTGTGTCCTTTTATTGTTGTTTGGAACTCATAAATACTAGGGAAATTGGAAGAGTATAAATTTGGAAGGATATAAATTTTTGAAGAGCGGCTCGAACTCAATTAATTAATTTATTATAAATGTTTGTTGAAACTCAATTAATTTACTTTAAATGCATGTTGGAACTCAATTTATTTATTTATTTGTATTATATACAGAGCAAAAAAATCAAATAATGAGATAACTTTCCTCAGCACATCCTTTTATAGCATTTTCCAGGATCCAAATCATACCCGTAGGATCCGGATTTTGGGAGAACCGAACCGGAGTAGTGAACCCCCGGTTCCAAACCGAAGGTACTACGCGGTTTCGGTTCCAGTTCAAAAACCGGCGGTTCCGTTTGAACCTTAAACCGCGGGCAGGTCTCTACCTGTAGGAGGTGTTTCACACTAACATTTGATTTTTAGATAAAAATGGGTTTCAAAATTATTGCCTACCATTTACTTAAAAGTGTGTTTTTGTATAAGCTGAAGTAGTTAAGAAAAGTATATCTTTCTGGTTCTTGTGTTTATAGCCCCCCCCCCCCCCCCCCCCCCCCCCACATAATATATCTTGTGTTCACGACAGGGCTAATGCCAAGCTGGTATACGCTTGTGAGTGGAACCCCATGGCTATTGAGGCACTCCGCAACAACCTTCAGGAAAATCTCGTGGCTGATCGTTGTGTAGTGCTTGAAGGAGACAATCGAATTGTAGCACCAAAAGTGGGCATTTTACCTTCGATGTTTTTGTTTTTATTTTTAATTACGTGTTCAGCATAGTAACAATATTATTTTGTTGTGCTTGTCTTTGGGGGGGGGGGGGGGGGGGGGGGATATGCAGGGTGTTGCACATCGTGTTTGCCTTGGGCTCTTGCCGTCAAGTGAGGGAAGTTGGGTCACTGCTGTGAGAGCATTAAGGTATTTTTATCATCTTAATGTTCTGTTAAATCTAAACTCTTTTGGGATTAAGGCTTGGATGTTGTTGTTGCTGTAATGTTCTGTTAAATCTAACAAAAATCTCCTGTGTATCTAGAATTCTAAGTGTAATGGTCCCTTCAATTTCTAATTGTTACACTTCTCTTCCTTCTCCAGATATTCTTTAGTAGATGGTATTTTAAGATATAATCATATAACATAGTTAGACAGCCAAAACAGAGAGTCCATTTGGTATGATTAAAATGTATGAAGTTATTGGTTCTGCTTTTCTGCCAAAGTTGCAGATGGATTGGCTGGATTTGTTGAATTATCTGACAGGAATTATTTAAAATACAAATTTATTTAAATATATTAAAGAGAATAATTTTTAAAATAAAAGTAATAGTATCTATGTTTTAGCCAAAAATCAACTCATGCACCCACCCACAGTCAGCCAGTGCAGTGATATAAGGCAGTGTTTGATCAAAACACTGGTTGATAAGGTTTGTAAGAGAGAATGGAGCCAAAAAAACATGCTCATAGTTTTGGATTTACTTGTTATTCATACCGTAACTCGTCTTTTCGAAGTGCAGGGAAGAGGGTGGGGTGATGCACATTCATGGGAATGTGAAGGACTCAGAAGAAGTCTCGTGGACCCAACATGTTTTACAGTCTATTGAAGATATCGCCAGATCCGAAGGTGGGTAATTACTCCATTCTTGTGACTTTTGTGCTTCAATATAATTTTTAGTGTAGTTTATATATACATAATTAAATTATCGATATTGATTTGAATTTTAGTCAGACCCCAAACTCTTTTGAGATTAAGGCTTGTATATTGTTGTTAGTTTAAATATTATGTAGTAGTATAAAACATTTAACTTTATGAGGTTATTTCTTAAATATTAATGATATAATTTTTTTGGCTCTCTTTTTCTCATAGTATCTGTTCTGTTAAATGCCGACATCATTGACTGGGATGAGTTTCGAACTTATGACCTCTTCCTTGGACAGTGATGCCATCGAACCACAAGGTGCTTCGCATTAATGATATACTCCCTCCGTCCCTTAAAACTTTGCCAACTTTCCTCTTTTGGATGTCCCACTAACTTTGCCACTTTCTATTTTATGTAAAGAATTTGTGGTTCAATTTAATTCTCTCTGCTCTGTACAAACCTCAACCACACAATTTTTACTTTATTAATCCCTATGCCGGTCAAATTTTGCAAAGTTATAAGGGACGGAGGGAGTAAATCTGAGGGATAAAAATGTGACTAAAGTTATTATGAGTGTACCGCCATGTGGGGTGTAGGTAGGGGGGCCTTGCAGGGCCATGGCCCACCCCAAACTTGAAAAATGCTTTTAATTTTTGTTGCGGCCCAACTGAACACATAAAATTTATGTGTAAAAATTTGTTTGCCTTGCCTACGCTCCTCCCTACGCTCCTGCCATCACAGTCACTACAGTATAAATTTGAACATAATCTGGGTCACTAAAGTTACTAGTATACTTCATTTTTTGTCATATTTTCATCATTATTTCTAACTTTATTATCACTGGAGCTTAGAATTTGCAGTTCAGGACAAAGATAGTACAAGAACACTATTTGTGCCCTTTATTTATTTGGAGATGTGAATAAACATTATAAAGAATGCCATCTAAGTTATTCTTCTCAACAAAACTAAGGGTGTTGGATTATGTTCTTAGGTCGTGTTTGGGACATTTCAGTAGAACACACGGAGAGAGTGAAGTGGTATGCCCCTCGCATTCGCCACCTTGTTGCAGATGTAAGATGCAGGAGGCATAGTGAATAGGGCTGAGTGATACATGTAAGATACTAAGCTATACACGCTTCTGCAAAAAAAGCTATTTCTGGAGGTCTGGTGGATTGCTCGTGTAGAATATGCCGAAGTGAGTGCTGTTTTTAAGTTTTAGAAAGCAAAAAAAATCAAAAAAGCTTCTTTAATTTTTATTTTTGAAATTAAGAATTCTTTGATTTAAAATGATTTTTAAAGCATGATGCCTTTAACTACAAAGGTTCGTACAGTATAGGTGGACCTGGTCGAGTTCTGGTTTCGGTCTAGCCGGCTCAGGGTCCAAAGAAAGAGTTACCCGTAACCAGGACCAGATAATCTGGATACGGGTTCGTTTGTCGTCCCAAACTGGTATATATCCTATTTTAAAAAAATAAAAAACCTGGAACTAGTTTGCCCCGGGCCTATTTTGGATTCACTGGTTCCAGTTCTAACCTATTTCAGCCCGGAATAATAAAAATGGGCAACCAGTCTGATAATTTATCTGCCAGGTCTTAATTTCATCCGGTTCCGAAACAGTCACTGGGCCCACCACTGTCCTGTTTCATCCCGGAATGATAAAAACGGGCAACCAGTCCGGTATTGTATCTGCCAGGTCTTAGTTTGATCCGGTTCCGTAACTGGCACTGGGTCCATTGCTGTGGTTCAGTATTGATGACCCAAATTATATGCATCAGTGGTTGAGTGCAATGCAAGAGGTGACTTGCTACATCGCGAGATCTGATTGTTGTAGCTTGGGTTGCGGTTGCATTTGACCATTTGTTACTGTGATACTCTAAGTTGGATGCCATTCAACAGGAGCCACAGCGATTGTTGCCGTCATTATCCCCTGGCCTCAAGCTTGGTGACTGGTGAAGAAAACTGTGGGAGTACGCAACGGTTTTGGGCCGAGACCGGCTGGTCCTTGCCAAAGAAAGGGAGATATGGGACTGACCCTCTAGGTAGCGGTCCCAGACCGGGTTATGTAGACCGGTCAGTCCAGTCCCGGGCCGGGTCTTGGTCATTTTTTTAAAAATTGTCTAGTTGTTGGGGACCGAACCGGGCCCGAGATCAACCGATCGTGGTCCCAAAAATCCGCACCCGATTCCGAGTAACGAAGCCTGAGGGGAAGGGGAAAATTGGTCCTGAGCTGATCCCAAACAGTGCCGGGGCCAATTCCGGCTCGAGACCGGCGGACCGAGTTTACCCTTGTGTGGGAGTACGAAGTTTAGTGACCATGGGGGGAGGTTGAGGGTGATGATAAGTGGGAAAAGGGGAAGGGGGTAATGCACGAAGAGGACGATGGGGACTGAGGTTGTGTGTTGAGGAAGGAGATCCTAGGATCAAAATCGCAAAGAATAGTAACAAGAAACCCATAGTAACAAAGATGAAAGGTGATGGATGATGATGAGTGTGGACATGACACTATGGCATGACGTACATTGAGCTTGCATATATAAAAACTTGCATGGTTAGCAAAACCTTCCGGTTTTGCTACTTCCTGATAAGCATTAAACTAATTGTACACACTTTTTTGTACACACCATCTTACACACGTCTGTGTCTCTGTGAGAGTGTGAGCAGCTGGTGAATATGCCTGTTCACAGATAAAACATGATTCTTCTATGAACAGGCTATTCACAGACAATAAGTAACTGCTCACAAACATTTGTAAGCTGGTGTGTACAAAAAAAGTGTGTACAAGAAGAATTATTGTCCTAATAATGGCTCTTTATTTCTTTCTGTTTGCGTGTTTGGTGCTGTGTTATTGAGATGGTTCTATGATAATTGGTATCGTAGTAAATAATAGAATTATTTTAAGTTTTAGGGATAACTCGAAAATGAAAAATGACAAAGTTATAAGGAACGGAAGAAGTATATAATAATCGGTTCTTCGAGGCAATCCCGAACAATTCGATTTGATATGGTTCTAGACAGGTTTGGGATGGTTCTCGATGAAAAATAGATGTCGTACCATATTAAACAAAATATTTGTTCATCTGGTACTATACTATATTCTTTCTGTTCTGGTATGGAATATACTAGTTCTTCGGTATGGGATGAGAAATGCTAGCTCTAGTACTACCTCCGTCCCTTAAAACTTTGCCAAAGTTGACCGACACGGAGAATAATAAAGTAAAAACGGTATGGTTTAGATTTGTGCAGGGGAGAGAAATAACAGAAATCACAAAATAATTGATTAAAAAGGAAATTGGTAAAGTTTTTTGGGACGTCTCAAAAAGTAAAGATAGCAAAGTTTTAAGGGACGTAGGGAGTATTTTATTACTCTATAGTCCGTACTGTTATCTTGAACCGATGTGATTTGTTATGATCGATTTTTCTAAACCCGTTTTGGTGTGGTGGTACATGTGATGTGTTTAAGCATTATCTAGCTTAATTTAATTTGGTAAATGGTTAGTGGTTAACATGTGAGTAGACTTGGGGTAAATGTTTTTTTATACTCTTTGTTAAATGTAATTTAACATCAGCGAATTGAATAACTAAGTTGATTGGGCGTAGGGGTGGACTCGGGCCGGGCCAATCGGCCCGGAACCGGACCGGCCCGCTACTGTGCGGGCCCGGACCGGCCCGGTGAACCGGTTGGTTGACCGGTTCGGGCCACCCGACCCGGTGGGATGGCGGTTCGGGCTCGGGCCCTTCAAAAGGTGAACCGGCCCGGCCGGTTCGGGCCTGGGCCGGGCCAATTTATTTATTTATTTATTTTGATTTTTTTTAAGTTTTTGGGTTGGGCTGGGTATTTTAGGCCATTTGAGGTGGTTAGGGTTGGTTTGGGGGTGAGGGGGGAGGGTTGGGGGTTAACTATGGTTGGACTCGGGTCAGGCCACTCGGCCCGTGGACTGGCCCGGGCCGCTACTGTGTGGGACCGGGACCGGCCCGGTTCTCGGGTCTGGGTCCGGGTTGGGCCTAGGCCCGGGGGGTAGGGCGGGTCCGGGCTCGGGTCTCAAATTTGGTGAACCGGCCCGGCCGGGTCGGGCCCGGGCCAAATTGATTATTTTTTTCATTTTTGGGGTTCCACCCGGGTTGGGCTTGATGGGTAGGATGGGTTTTAGGTGGTTTGGGAGGGTGGGGAGTGAGGGGGGAGGGGTTAGGAAAGCAAAAAAAAAAAAATCCAAACCGGAGGCCCGGACCCGGTGGCTACCCGGGTCCACCATTCCTGAACCGCCGGCCCGCCCGGGCCTAGGCCCGACCCGGACCCGGCCCGGACCCGAGTCCACCCCTAGGGTTAACTAGGAAATGCCAAAAAAAAAAAAAAATAGAACCGAGGCCCGGACCCGGAGGTTACCCGGGCTGGTTCCGGGCCTCCCCTTCATGAACCGAGGCCCGGCCGGGCCCGAACCGGGCCCGAACCGGAACCGGTCCATCCCTACTTGGGCGTGTGAGCTAACATGGTCAAACATACTCCCTACATTGATATACTAGTATTATTCTTTCCTTCCCTAAATAAACACCTATATATTATCAATCTTAACCGACCAATTCACTTGCAACCTTCACTGTTGTTTGATTACAAGTCCAAAGTATCTCCAATCTAAGCCGGCCGCGGATATACGGAGTATATAATAGCTTATGTAGTCGATTAAACTTGAAAGGTAAATCACAATTAAGAGTCATTACCAGCTAGCTATTATATTTAGGAGTTATATATATTGAGAAAATGAAAGAGATTGAGGAGGCAAAGCGTCGTTAAAAGTCATCGCCAGCATGTGGCTTTCCATGCATTTCTCATCAATGATACGCTAGCTTTCATGTTTTCCCCCTCCGCCATTTTTTCAATCAGCCTGTGGTTAGGCTTATTCTCAGAGTGCATGCTCTTTTCGACCATCTCTACCTTATGTATTGCATTCGCTACAGGGATGTACTCCGTGCTTTTGTCTCACTCTCTTCATATTTCCCGCACCGTCCTCGTCCTCGCCCTCCTCTTCTTCCCGCTTTCCTTTATCCTTTTACCCCTTCTTCTTTGTGTCGGCTATTTTATCATACATTCATTAACTTCACAAGCTCTTATAGGAAACGATTTACATGAAAATCATCTTTGTCCGACATACTTTCATAAAAATATAAAATTTATACCTTTTATAAAATTATACATAGTACTAATCAAATTCATTGTCCAAAATTTATCACTAAAAACCCTTGGCCCACATGCTGATATCCCAAAAAGCTTTGCATTTTCATTCAAAGTAACAAAATTGCGGTTCATATTATTTCTCTTTCTACTCAAATTTCAACCACACAATTTTTACTTTATTATTCCATGCGCAAGTCAAGATTGGCCAAACCTTTATGGGAAGGGAGTAGTAAAACATTGATCTTATTTCATTTTATTTTACATATTCCAAGTTAAAACCAAACACAAGAAACCAATTCCTTTAAAACCAAATTTTATACTATATATACATATAGAGAATGAAATTTGGTTTTAAAGGAATTAGTTTCTTGTGTTTGGTTTTAACTTGGAATATGTAAAATAAATACAGGAAGGTGCTGGGGCAGTTGACTCACAAACATGGTACATAGATTCAGGCTGCTCCAGGCACATGACAGACAGCATGTGGCTCCTGTCAAACTATATGACAAAGGAAGGACTCAAAGTGACATTTGGGAATGTGGAAAAGCAAGGAGAAACCAAAGGAGCTGGAGATCTATCAATCAATGGACTTCCAAAACATATCTTATGTTAAAGGATTAAAGTTCAATCTCATAAGCACAAGCCAGCTTTGTGACAATGGTTATAATGTTACATTCTCCAAAGACATATGCTTGATTAGAGATGTCAAAAATGATAAAATTATGCTCTCTGGAAGAAGGAAGAAGGACATGTATGTCGTTGATTGGAACTCAGCTAAGGAAGGGATTTTCTTGGTGACAAAGGCAGATTCAAATCTAAGTTGGGAATGGCATAACAAGTGCAGCCATCTCAACTTCAAAACCATCAACAAACTATCCAGAAAATGATTGGTGAAAAGACTTCCAGAAATCAATTTCAAGAAGGATCATCTCTGTGATGCTTGCCAGAAAGGAAAACAAACCAAGGCATCATTCAAATCCAAAGAAGTAGAATTATCAACTAGACCTATGAGCCTACTACATCTTGACTTGTTTAGACCAGTTGAACCAACAAGCTTAAGTGGAAAAAGGCACACCGTTGTTGTAGTTGATGATTACTCTAGATTCACTTGGATCTTATTCCTCAAGAAGAAGAATGAGACAGAAAAGAAGC